GACAGCTTGGAGGTGAGCAGGAAGGACCCCCAGGCTGCAGGGTCAAAGCTCAATGGTGGTGTTATTACCTGACCAGGGACCAGGGTTACCCAGCGAAGCTAGAACAGAGGCCTGTTAAGAGAGGGCCTCAGAGGGGACAAAACCTCTGCCTGAGATGCCACTCCTTGGGCATGGGGGACACTGAGGTTGGGGATGGAAATGCCAGAACTCAACACACAGCCCTGTTCCAGACAGTGCTGTCTGGAAGATTTCTGGGCTCTCCCGAGGGGCTGCGCCACAACCAAGCCACCTCCTTGGACTCCTGTCCTTTACCTCTGGAGGACCTCCTTCCCTTCGATATGAGCTGTCTTGAACTTGGGACTCGCCTTTCTCAAGACGTCCATCACCAGCTCCTGGAGGAACTGGACCCTGCATCTTCCCCTCATATGGAGCCTTGGTGTGAGGCCCTGCTAATGCGTGCATGTCAGAGGCAGCAGGGGCCACATCCGAAGAAGAGGGGAGCAAATTAACAAAAAGTGTGGGGAAGACCCAGGTGTCTGAGCGCATCTGCACATGTCGCAGGAGGGATGGGTCTCGGCTGCGACCCAGCCCCGAATGCTGGATAACTGGGATAATTGCCCTTGTGATGGGGCCACCTCCAAGCTGGGGTGGCTTTGTTCCTGGGTAAAGGGTCTGCCATGACCGAGTGCAGTAAATACCAATAAACAGCTCTTGTTTCCCAGAGGGATGTGCTGAGGGGAGTCGTGGGCGGTGAGGCCTTTGACCCTCCCCTCTAGATCTGCAGGGTGACCCCAGTTTGGCTCAGGAGGGAAAACAGGCTGCCTTGGTCCCAGCTACGGCTTTGTTTTTTTGTTTTGTTTTTGCTTTTTGCGGGGGGACAGTCTCACTCTGTTACCCAGGCTAGAGGGCAGTGGCACCTTCATATCCTGGGTTCAAGTGATTCTCATGCCTCAGCTTCCCGAGTAGCTGGGATTACAGGCACTCTTTCCCCCACACCCGGCTAATTTGTTAATATCTTTAGAGGAGACAGGGTTTTAACATGTTGGCCAGGCTGGTCTCAAACTCATGACCTGAAGGGAGCCACCTGCCTTGGCTCCCAAAGTGCTGGAATTATAGGCGTGAGCCACTGTGCCCTGCTAATTTTTTTATTTTTAGTAGAGACAGGGTTTCACCATGTTGGTCAGGCTGATCTTGAACTCTTGACCTCATTATCCGCCTGCCTCAGCCTCCCAAAGTGCTGGGATTACAGGTGTGAGCCATTGTCCCAGGCCCATGGTATTTCCATACTTTGTGGGCAATTTAAGGGATTTTCAGGGCTTACTTGGACCTCACGTGAGTTTTGCCTTTATGAGCTGACAGTAGCATCTACCCTCCAGGATGTGACCATGTACTTGCACTTGTATGAACTGAGCAGCACGTCCTGGACTGTTTGCTTAACATGTTACTGCTGTGGTTTCATTTGGCCTTTCCGACAACTATATGAGGTAGGTACCCTGTAATCCCCATTTGCAGATGAGAAAACGGGTCATAGACATGGGTTGTTGCATGACAGCTGTCAGTTGACTCTCAAACACATGTGCCTGACCAGCATGCTCTTCTGCCTCCTGAGGAAGGACCCCTTAACTTAGGTTGATGGAGCAGAAAGCTGTTCCAGCACAGAGTGGGCACTGGGGCAGGGTCCAAAAGAGTTGATTTCTCAGCTGGGTGAGGTGGCTCATGCCTATTATCCTAGCACTTTGGGAGGCCGAGGCAGGTGGATCACCTGAGGTCAGGAGTTCAAGACCAGCCTGGCCAACATGTCGAAACCGTCTCTACTAAAAGACAATTATCTGGGCATGATGGCATGTGTCTATGGTCCCTGCTACTTGGGAGACTGAGGCAGGAGAATCACTTGAACCTGGGAGGCAGAGATTGCAATGAGCTGAGATCATGCTACTGCACTCCAGCCTGGGCAGCAAGAGCGAGACTCTGTCTCAAAAAAAAAACACAATTTCTGCTGGGGATAAGGCAGAATTTACCAACTAGAGAGCTAAGAAGCGCTAGATGTGCTGCCCTTAGAGGGAGTCCCGAGGCTGTGGAGTTTCTACTGCATGAGCAGAAAGGAGCTAAGGTTTTTCAGGACTCCTCTGTTACGCACAGACTGCTCAGGTGAGGTGTCTCCTAATAGTCATCCTGTGACTTCGCCCTCCTAAGCAGACAATCTGCATTGTGACTGGGCCTTTTCCCTGGGATGCATAGCCACGCTCCATGGTACATGTTCCTCCCTCCACGTCAGCCCTCAGCCGTTGCTTCTCCCTGCACACACCTGAGTGCAATAGCGTTGAGGTGGGGGAAGAGTCAGGGCATGGAAGGCTGGATGCCTGGGTTCTAGCCCATGTATGGCTCCCAACCGTCTGGGGACTTTAGGGATAGAGGAGATATTTTAGTGAGGGCCTACAGCCCTCCAGGCACTGTGCTGGGTGCTTGGTGTTAGTCTTGATCGTCCCAGCGTCATAGCTGGGAGGTGCCAGCTTGGTTTTCCATTTTGCCCATTTGAAAGCTCTGTTGCCTAAGAACTCAGGGCTATTTCAGACGAGCCAGACTGTGACACAAGCCTGTCTCTGTTGCCCCACACATTACCTTCGAAGTGGCTTCCCTTTTCTAAGCCAATGTCTTCTGATTACCTACAATGGGCCCTGCGTTGTGCAGAGAGCTGGAGACAGAGCAGTGAACAAGGTCTCTGCCCTCATGGAGCTGATAAGCCAGCGTACTGCCCAGTAGTAAGTAAATGACGCAACATGCTGGAGATTGAGCAGAAAAGGCAGTGAACGAGCAGGGGGTTGGCACTTGCTTTTTTTTTTTTTTTTAATTTGGTTTTTTTGAGACAGACTTCCACTCGTTGCGCAGGCTTGAGTGCAATGACGCGGTCTCAGCTCACCTCCTGGGTTCAAACAATTCTCCTGCCTCAGCATCCCGAGTAGCTGGGATTACAGGCACCTGCCACCACACTTGGCTAATTTTTGTATTTTTAGTTGAGACTGGGTTTCATTATGTTGGCCAGGCTGGTTGCGAACTTCTGACCTCAGGTGATCCACCCACCTTGGCCTCCCAAAGTGCTGGAATTACAGGTGTGAGCCCGGCCTGGCACTTGCTATTTAACATAAGGTGGGATGAGAAGGGCTCTCTCTTAAGATGACACATGAACAGAAATGAGGGAGTGAGCCAGAGGGAAATCTGAGGGAAGAGCATTCCAGGCCGAGGGAACAGCCAGCGCAAAGGCCCTGATGTTGGAGTGTGCCTGACATTTCAGAGAAACAAGACTCATGTGGTTGGAGCAGAGAGGGAATAAGGGGAGATAGAGAGACAAAATCACAGAGGGAACAAGAGCCACATCCTGCTGTCCCTGCACCATGTGAGGACTCAAGCTTCCACTGGTTCAGGGCTGGTGCCATGGGAAGATTCTGAGCCTGGAAGGAATGGGCTCTGACTTAGGTGTGCACGGGATTCCTCTGGGAGGAGGAGGCTAAAGGGGTAGGAGAGGGTAGGAAGGCCAGTCAGGAAGCCCCTGTGTCCACGTTGAAGAGGAGAGTGGCCAGAACAAGGTTGGGATAGCAGAGCGGGGAGAAGTGGTGAATTCTGGATATATTCCGAAAGTGGAACCAGCAGAATTTGTTGACAGATTGGACACTGGGTGAGAGAGAAAGTGGCTGAGCAACGTAACAGGTAGAGCTTGCTGTTTCCTGGAATGGCAAAGAGTAGGCAGAGTTGGTTTGGGGGTTGGGGTAGATCCGAAGTTAGGTTTTGTACATGTCAAATTTGAGATGGCTCTTTTGTTGTTGTTTTTTTTATTTATTTATTTTGAGATGGCTCTTAAGATATCCTGAGGACTTAAAAAAAAAAAAAAAAAAAAAAGCCAGGCATGGTGGCTCACGCCTGTAATCCCAGCACTTTGGGAGGCTGAGGCGGGTGGATCACAAGGTCAGGAGATCGAGACCATCCTGGCCAATATGGTGAAACCCTGTCTTAAAATAATAATAATTAAAAAAAAAAGATATCCTGAGGGAAGATGTCACTCATCGAGAGAGAACAGCAAATAATAAAATAACAGTAATTTATTAATATTAGAATAGTTACATTATACATATTATAGTAGTATTAACAATGATTTTGGCCAGATGTGGTGGCTCACCCCTGTAATCCCAGCACTTTGGTAGGTCAAGATAGGTGGATTGCTTGAGGCCAGGAGTTTGAGACCAGCCTGACCAAGATGGTGAAACCTCTTCTCTACTAAAAATAGAAATATTAAGGCCAGGTGCAGTGGCTCACTCCTGTAATCCCAACACTTTGGGAGGCCGAGGCAAGCAGATCACCTGAGGTCGGCAGTTTGAGACCAGCCTAGTCAACATAGTGAAACCCTGTCTCTACTAAAAATAAAAAATTAGCCGGGCGTGGTGGTGCATGCCTGTAATCGCAGCTACTTGGGAGGCTGAGGCATGATACTCACTTGAACCCGGGAGGTGGAGGTGGTGGTGAGCCAAGATCGCACCATTGCACTCCAGCCTGGGCAAAAAGAGTGAAACTCTTGTCTCAAAAAAAAAAAAAAAAAAAAAAAGTTTTAGTTCCAGAGAAACTTAGGCTTGGAAGTTCCCTGCTTTGGAGCTGAAGTCCCCCAAGCCTGTTCGAATTGTGTGCAGGCCAAAAGCCCATAGGCATGGAGCAGGCAAGGGCACTCTCCTGTGTTTTTCCTCTGAACTTCAGTGCCCCCACCCTCCCAAGACTGACTTTCTGGTTTTGCTTATTTTCAGAATGCAGGCAGCTTCGGGTAGGGAGCCTGCAGCTAAAGGATTAGACGTTTTACTTTGTATGGGTGAGCGCGCCTGGGGTTTGGGAGGGATAAATTGCCAAGGTCACACACTGCCTGTCGGGGTCACACGTAGGCATCTGTTGAGCCCCACCTCTCTCACCAATCCTTTCTCTCCACCCAGATTCCTACCCTGGGACAAAAATGGATATGGCCGGAGTTGGTTTTCAGGTTTTTATTGTGGGTGTATTTCTGGCAGCAAGACGGGAGCGGTGGGGCAGGAAGGCCGGGAGAGACTGGCGGAAAAGGACTGGGAACACGGGGATTTCGTTACTCTCGGATCTTCAGCTCCCGCGCCATCTGGCAGAGCGCGCAGGGCAGACAAAAGGTGAGGGCCGCCCAGTCGTGTCCGACAGAGCCCTAGAGGGTGGGAGAGAGCGGTCAGGAGCCCTGCCGTGGGTACCTGGAGGCCAGTCCCCAGCCCCCTGCTCCCGCGGGTCCCCGGCCCGGCGCGCACCTGGATGTGATAGCGCTCGCGCATGCCGGTGCGGATGGAGTGCAGGCCTCCGGGCAGGTAGGGCGCGCAGCAGCACTCGCCGAAGTCGTCGGAGATGCGGCAGGCGAGGCACAGAGGAGCGAAAGTGCCGCACAGACCTAAGCCGGGCGCTGGCGGTCAGGGGCGGGGCCCGCCGGGGTCTCCCGACGGCTCCGCCCCGGGGAGGGGCGCGGCTGACTTGCGGCGGAGGGAAGTTGAGGGTCTCAGAGGGAGCTCAGGGTTGGGGGAAGCAAAGGAGAGAGCCCAGAGGGAATTAGAGGGCCGAGGAGAGGGTGTCTTAGAGATTGGAAGATAGGGTTTTTCTTTTCTTCTTCTTTTTTTAAGAAATTGAAGCCTTGCTATCGCCCAGGCTGGAGTGCAGTGGTGTGATCACGGCTCACTGCAGCCTCGACGTGCCGGGCTCAAGCAATTATCCCGCCACAGCCTCCCGAGTAGCTGGGACTACTGGTGTGTGCCACTATCCCAGGCTAATTTTATTTTTTATTTTTGCAGAGATGAGGGTCTCATGTTGCCCAGGCTGGTCTCAAGCCCCTGGCCTCAAGAGATCCTCCTGTCTCGGCCTCCCAAAGTGCTGGGATTACAGGCATGAGCCACCGCGCTGGGCCGGGAGTTAAGGTTTGAAGAGGGAGTTGGGGGTAACAGGGAGGAAAGCTGAGCATGTAAGGGGGAGGTTGAGGGCCCCAGAAGTTGGGTATTGGAAGGCGTGAGATCAGTAATCTAAGGAGTGCTGGGGGTCTGAAGAAAGGGTGAGCGTTACAGAGTGGGAATTCCGAGTCCAAGGAATGGAGGTGGGAGTGAGGTTAGCAGGAGGGGGGAGGTAAGTTTTTCTCTCCCGCTTCCCCCAGGCCCCGCCCCCCGGGCCCTGGAGAGGGAGCAGGCAGGCACTCACAGACAGGCATGTCGTTGCAGCAGTCCGTGAGACCTGTGTGCCAGTCACTGAGCTGGGTCTGGTAGCAGCTGGTGGTGGCGCACTGGGGTTGGCTGGTCACAGGGTAGGACATGGCTGCAGAGGTGGGAGGGGGGTCAGCTGGCAGCCTGGCAGCCTTGCAGCACCTCCTAGGTCCCGGAACTCTCCTGTCACCCTTCCCTCTGCCGGGCAGTCTGGGCGGGGCCACCAGGCCGCCCACTGAAGGACACGAATGTGCCTCCCCCTTCCCTTTTGCCACATCTGGGCACCAGCAGCCCCAGTCTGTCCCTGTTGATGCTGGCTCCTGCACGTCTGGTTAGGCTGGGGGTGGGGGGCTCCTGCACATCTGAGGAAGGGTGGGAACCACATCTGGGCGGGGCCTGGCAGTGCCGCCTTCTCCTCCACGTCTGGGCCTGGGTTCTGGGTTGCAGCATTTCTGGGACCTCTGGGGTGGAAGCCAGCGCCGTCTGTCTTCGAAGCAAGGGTGCCCAGGGGAGGGAGGCGGCCAGGTTCCAGTACTGAGAGGGTTGCCGGTCCACCCAGCGATCCCACCTTTGCCTTTCACGTTGTCGTGCATCTCAAACTGCATCTTGCTGGCCCTGAGGAGGTGGCGTTGGGGATGGCAGAAGTGGCCGCGGCGACAGTGGCGGAGTCTGTCCAAGGGATGCTGGATACTGGGGAGGCAGGGGGGCAAGGGACTGGGGTTCTGGGGACTGGGTTCTCAGGGGGAGGGGAGCTGAGGAGAAAGAGGCCAAGTCGGCCTGCTGGCCAGGAGAGACATGGAATAGGGGATGGATAGGGTGGGGGCGAGAAACTCGCCCCTCTTTTTCCAGCTGCCCGACAGATCCCAGAGGACCCTCCCCATACCCGAGATAGAGCTTGAGAGAGACCAAGAAATGAAGATGGACAGAGTCAGAGACACGGGGAGAAAGACCAGAGCCAGGTGCCCATAGAGCTGCCACCAGTCATGCCCACATATGCCCAGCATTTCGACTCCTCCAAAAGCTCATCTCACAGGTGAACACTGAGGCTCAGAGATGAGGAGGAGTGCCCCACATCTGATGGCCCAGGCCAAGGGGGTTCGCAGAGGAGATGCTAGGCCCCAGGACTTCCAAATTCAGCCCAGCCCACCACAGTTAAGGAGGGATTCTGGGACATTGGGAAGGACAGAGATGTCCTGAGAGACAGACAGTCAGAGCTAGGGAGACACAGATATGAGTGGGATCAAGAGGAGGGAGACCAGAGCAGAGGCACCCAACTTCAAAGAAGAGGGCTCTGGAGGGGGTGCTCCTACCTGCGGATTGTGATGGCAGTGATGGAGACAGACGTGTGGAGACGCGGGCACTGACTTCTTCTCAGCCCAGAGCCACTTATATGGGCGGCCAGGCAGCCCTGGGCGGGGCTCTAACTGAGATGCTCACGGAGCCCAGCCCGTCAGGTCAGGTCGACCCTCTCCCTGCACTGGGATTTCCTCCCTCTTCACTTCCTTCCCTCCACTTCCCCTCCTGCCTCAGCTCCCAGGATTGAGGGGAGAGAAGGTGGGGGAGGTGGGGGGGCACAGCGGGGTCAATGTGCAGAGACCAAAAGAAAGGGAGAGACAGAAACAGTGTGAGAAGGGCAGGCAGGGAAGTCCCTCTAGACAGAAGGGAGAGAGAGAAGGAGATTCAGAGAGGTGGAAAGATGCTAATAAACAGAGGGATGCAAACATGTGAGAAGAAATAAAAGAGGGGAGATGGGTGAGGTGTGGTGGCTGACACCTGTAATCTCAATGCTCTGGAAGGCTGAGCAGGGAGGATCGCTTGAGCCCAGGAGTTGGAGACCAGCTTGGGCTCAAGGGAGACCCCATCTCTACGAAAAACACAAATAAAATTAACTGGGCATGGTGGCATGCACCTGTAGTCCCAGCTACTTGAGAGGCTGAGGCTGGGGCAGGAGGATCGCTTGAGTCCAGAAGGTTGAGGCTGCAGTGAGCTGTGTTCTCGACACTGCACTCCAGCCTTGGTGACAGAAGAAAAGGGGAGCTGGGAGACAGAAGAGAGATGGAGATGGAAAAGTGGAGGGGCAGGTCGGGGGGGGGGATCACTGAACAGGCTTAGAGGGCAGGGAAATGGTGAGAGGTGCTAGGTGGGGAGAGAGAAAGGCGGGGTGGCATGGGAGAGAGTGCTGTGTGGGACTCTCCTTTCAGGGTCTCTCTCATCTCTTTCAGTGATGTCCCTATTTTCCTGGGAAAGGGGGCAATGTCCTCCCCATTCAAGCCAGAAGACACATGGGGGGCAGTGTGTTTTGAGGGATGACTCATGTAAGAACCAAAGTAAATAAACATACCTCACCCCAGCTCCAAATTGGGCAGGGAGGAGGCTGCAAACTGAAAAGCCACAGTTCCTGAAGGACGTGACGTGACCCAGGACTCCTGGGTCCTGATGGAGCAAAGGACTGGGGGCTTGGAGCCCTGGGTCTGAGGGTGGAGGGGCTGGGGCCCCGGACTCCTGCATCTCATGAGGCCAGGCTGCACACCCCTCAGTGGGATAGGGGTCCTAGGATTCCACACAGCTGGGCTCCTGAGCAGGGGAGGAGCTGGGGGCCTGGATGCCTGAGCCACCAAAGTCTCCCCCCAACAGGCCTGACAGGGTTGGGAAGTGACTCAGTCAGGGAAGCAGTGTTAGAGCTGGGTGGGGTACCTAGCACGGGTGTCACCCCAAAAATGTAGGAGGCACTAGAAAATTGGGGTGTCACCTGCAGAGAAGGTGGTGTCATCACCCCACTGGGCATGGGGTGATGGCAGGTGGATCGCCCTGCTAGCCTGGGATCCCAGGTGTCCCCTCCCTGCTTCCAACATATTAGGACCCAAACCTTGGGCTCCCAGCACCACCTAGATGGTTGGGTGTCCTTGTCCCCAGAACTGCTGGCAGCGCTCACTGTCTTGCCTGTGTATGTCAGTCATTGGTCCTGGAGCCAGAATGTCTGGGGGACATCTCCCCACTTCCTTTTTTTTTTTTTTTTTTTTTTTCTGAGATGGAGCCTCGCAATGTCACCTGGGCACTCTCTTGGCTCACTGCAACCTCCGCCTCCCAGGTTCAAGTGATTCTCCTACCTCAGCCTCCTAAGTAGCTGGGATTACAAGTGCCTCCCACCACGTCTGGCTAATTTTTGGTATTTTTAGTAGAGACAGGGTTTCACCATGTTGGTCAGGCTAGTCTCGAACTCCTGACTTCTTGATCAACCTGCCTCAGCTTCCCAAAGCACGTGAGTCACCACGCCCAGCCCTTCTCTCCACTTCTCTCCTACCATCCCTGTCTCCCATCTCTGAATCTTCATCTCTCACCCTGCATCTTCCCCTCTCCAGCTGGGAATCTCCTTTTTTCCTCATCTCTGCAAATCTGTTTACAAATCTCTGTCTCTTTATCTCTGGGTCTCTTTCCTCCCAGGCTCTGTGTCTCTGTGCCCTTATCCCCGAGTCTCTGTCTCCTATGTCAAAATCTCTTCTGAATCTGGCTTCCCATCTCTCTTCCTCTCCAGATCTGCCCCATGGAGGCAGCCACAAGGCCCCATTCCCCCTGCTGTCCAGAATAAGGGTGCAGGTGACTCAAGGTCAGTCATCTCCAAGGACCCTAGAGCTTCCAGGATGATACTCTGAGTTGTCCTCAAGTTTCCTCTCTCACTCCTGACACAGCCTGGGGGCCCCAGTTAGATCTAGCAATTCATGCAGGTGAGGAAATTGGGACTGGGGAAGCTATGAGGTGGCCTGCTTGGGTGTGAGGAGGGCTGTGAGCAGGAGGAGGAGCTCCTGGGGGGCTGAGGAGTGATGGTGGCCCAGTCATCAGGCATCAGCCTACATCCCCCTTGAACAGGGTTGCCACATAAAATACAGGATTCTAATCTCAGCACTTTGGGAGGCCAAGGTGGGCAGATCACGAGGTCAGGAGATTGAGACCATCCTGGCCAACATGATGAAACCCTGTCTCTATGAAAAGTACAAAAATTAGCTGGGCGTGGTGGTGCACACCTGTATTCCTGGCTACTCTGGAGGCTGAGGCAGGAGAATCGCTTGAACCCAGGAAGCAGAGGTTGCATTGAGCCGAGATCGCGCCACTGCACTCCAGCCTGGGCAGTAGAGCGAGACACCATCTCAAAAAACAACAAAAAAACCAGGATTCTGTAAAATCTGAAATTCAGATAAGCAACAAACACTTTATTTTTTTAGTGTATGTTTTATGTAGTATTTGGAACGTGTTTATACTAAAAAAGTATTTGTTATTTATCTGAAATTCAAATTAAATTGGGCTTCCTATATTTTTATTTGCTAAATCTGGAACCCTGTAATCAAAGACAGAGGAATCCAGAACTCCAGCCCCCTCTTTTCTCAGAACCTGGGAGTCTTCCCCAGCCTTCCCTCCTTAGGATCTGAGAGTCCAGGTCCCAATCCTCCTCCTCCCCCTTAGAAGGAATGGGGCACCCAGCCCCCTCCTCCCTCGGAAATACAGGAGTTCAGGCTCCCAGCCCCTTTTTCCCTAGAACCCAGGCGTCCAGACCAGGTCTGAGTCCAGTTGCCCAATGTGTGTTTCACAAGGTGGGTTGTGCCATCTGTGGCCCTGGGGAAACCGGTTGAGCTGAGCGGACAAGTGGGGTGGCCCCCTTCCCATCCTCAACCTGCTGTTTCCTTGAGGGCCAGCCCAGCGGGGCTGGGAGCGGAACAGGAGGGACTCTGGGAGCTCTGGGTGTGCCCCTGTGTTCTGGTCTGGGTGTGTTGTGTGTGGTTGTGACCAATTGTCATGACAATCTCCAACTGTCATGATGTGTCTCTTTGTGCTTTTTCTATGGTCTGCGGTGCGATGTGAGAGGGTCTGTTCTATTTGTGTGTCTGTATTGCCCTCCTGTGAGTCTACGCTGGTGTTTGGGTGTGTTCTCAGTTATTCTGATTCTATCATTCTGATTGGATTAAGGCAGCAAGTATTTATTAAATGGTAGCCTTATGTGGTGGACTCTGGAGCCAGAAAGCCTGGGTTCAAATTTTTTTTTTTTTTTGAGATGAAGTTTTGCTCTCGTTGCCCAGGGTGGAGTGCAATGGCATGATCTCAGCTCACTGCAACCTCCACCTCCTGGATTCAAGTGATCTCCTGTTTCAACCTTTCTAATGGCTGGGATTACAGGCCTCCACCACCACCATACCTGGCTAATTTTGTATTTTTAGTAGAGACGGGGTTTTACTATGTTGGCCAGGCTGGTCTCGAGCTCCATACCTCAGGTAACATACCCGACTCAGACTCTCAAAATGCTGGGATTACAAGTGTGAGCCACAGCACTTGGCTCCAAATTCTTTTTTTGTTGAGACAAAGTCTCACTCTGTTGCCCAGGCAGGAGTGCAGGGAGTGGGGGAACTCACTGCAGCCTTGACCTCCCTGGCTCAAGTGATCCTCCTACCTCAGCCTCCTGAGTAGCTGGGACCACCGGTATGTGCCACCATGCCAACTTTTTTTTTTTTTTTTTTTTTAGACAAAGCCTTGCTCCGTCTCCCAGGCTGGAGTGCAGTGGTGAAGTGGTGTTATCTTGGCTTATTGCAACTTCCACCTCCCAGGTTCAAGTGATTCTTCTGCCTCAAGCCTCCCGAGTAGCTGGGGCTACAGGTGACTAATATTTGTATATATATATTTTTTTTTTAGTAGAGATGGGATTTCACCATATCGGTCAAGCTGGTCTTGAACTCCTGACCTCGTGATCCACCTCCCTTGGCCTCCCAAAGTGCCGGGATTACAGGTGTGAGCCATGGCACCTGGCCCATGCCAGCTAATTTTAAAATTTTTTTTGTAGAGACAGAGTCTTGCAATGTTGCCCAGGCTGGTCTCAAGCAATCCTCCTGCTTTGGCCTCTGAAAGTGTTGGGATTAAAAGTATGAGCCACTGTGCCCCACCTGGGTTCAAATTCTGACTGCTGGGTTCAATTTCTGACTGCTGGCTGGGAACAGTGGCTCACATCTGTAATCCAAGCACTTTGGGAGGCCGAGGCAGGCAGATCACTTAAGGTTAGGAGTTCAAGACTAGCCTGGTGAATATGGTGAAACCCCATCTCTACTAAAAAAAAAACACAAAAAAATTAGCCAGGTGTGGTGGTGTGTGCCTGTAGTCCCAGCTATTCGGGAGGTTGAGACAGGATAATTGCTTGAACCCAGGAGGTGGATGTTGCAGTGAGCCAAGATTGAGCCATTGCACTCCAGCCTGAGTGACAGAGTGAGACTCCATCTCAAGAAAAACACACCAAATTCTGGCTGCCTGTCCTTGGGCAAGTCACTAAACTTGTTTAGACCTCAATTTTCCCACCTATAAGATGGGTTGTTACAAATAAGGTTGTTTAGAGGATTAAATAAAAAGTGTGCCGGGTGTG